ATACTTTTTCTAAGTATAAGTGCCGATAAGATAAAGTTGTTTACAATGGCTAAAAAAATGGATACAAATTTTATATGTTTGTAACATTTAGATGTTGTGCACTTTTCAAGTTTTTTCAAAAATTTAGGTGTTTTCTTCGAACACGCAACAATTGTAACAAAATCGACAAACATGCTTGCAAAAAAAATTAGCATAATTGCATCTGATGATGAAGGTGTGTATATACATCCAACAAGGTCAAATTTCTTTCTACAATCTTCAAATGATCTCAAATATCCATTACTATGTACATACTTATAATCTTCAGTATTATTTTTAAAAAAAGCCGCTATAATCTGAAAATATCCAAATGCTGACGAAAAACTATAAAATATGGACTTATATATCCATAAATTAGAATCAACCTATTTTTTTCACCTGATATATGGTATAACCAACCGAAGGTGGCAAAGACGAAGAAAAACAACCCTATGGTAATACTGAAGTTTTTTGTGCTTTCGATGTGATTTTCAATCATATTTAAAAGGGGGCATAAGGAAATACTAAGAAGGACGATAAAATCATCGAAAAAATTCAACCAAGGGAATAAAGTACTCTTTTCATCTCCATTTTCTTTCACTTTCATCATCGAAAAAATAACTAATGGTGCAAGTGAAGTAACCAGAAAAGAGTAAGAACCGTTTGACGGTTTGTAGGATGATTCATTTGGATCTTGTGCAAGTACTTCGCGGAAATAGACTTGATTGTATATTACGTAGGTTGTAAATAATGAGAAAAAATTTATCTTCATTTTTATCAAGTTGATATTAATAACCATTAGTGCCAACTGTTTTCAGTGTCTTATATTTATTTATAAATCGAATTTGAAATCATTTCCATTTATAATATTAACACAAATAAAAAGTGTATACAAAAAAGAAAATTTAATTAATGTTTATTATTGAATATAACAAACATTCCACAAAATATTGTCAATATATTGGTTCGCATGTGCTGCTTTGCACACATGAAGATTTATATTACCTTATTGTTCTAATTATAGAGTAAATCCAATAGTATTGTGTCATAATAACCAGTATATGCAGCGGGATTGTTTACATAACATAATAGGTTTAGATACTTAATTTATACAAAATGTACGATGAGTATGATTTCGATGACCATAATATTAGACATCGTGATTAATAAATAAAATTCGTGTATTGAATCCTCTCGGATTACAACACAAAGCTTAATCTATTTGTTTCAAAATGAAACATACGAAGAAATTAAAGTTATCATAAAACGGGAATCACCGATAAAACTGCAAGGATTCAAATATACAAGGAAATCCTAAAGCATTTACCTGATATTACACCAGTTGCCTTGCGAATTAAACTCTTGGAGCCAATAAAAATTCGTAAATTATTTGGGAAAAATGAAGTTGCAAACGATATTTCAAAACTGACCAATGCTCAAATTCAAAACATTATAGGTCAAGTAACTTCGGCTAAATGTATCATCCGTGTTTCAAATATCCAAGAAACTTCCAATTTCAAAAATCGTTATTCCCAAACTTTTCTCATTCAAGAGGAAGCCATCCAAAGAGGAGCATAACCAGGCTATTGGTTTGTTAACAATGCATTTCACTAATTCACCAAGCTAGATCTAAATTTTAGTATGTGAACATCAGATAGATTTTTATTTTTATTTTCGGTTCACATTGTCCACTATGCAGAAAAAAGGGAATGATGTTGGATGATAAGTGGTGAACTGATAGTTGAGGTAATAAAAAATATTATTTTGTTCTGAAACTATGTAAAAAAAGAGCCAGGAACCTCACTCAATGATGTGCTAGAAGTGTATTCCAAAAATTCAGCTCTGAATCAGGAGGCAAAGATTCAATGCTTCACATCACCTATCCCTTGAAACCATGTCCTTAAACTCTCAGATAAAAACATAGCAGTGGAGGCATTTGAATAAATAAATAAATTTTTGTGTAGTTCATATATCATTTCAGCATGAACTGGGAGGTGATGATAAAATTCAACTAGTAAAAACATTTACAGAATCATTTATTTCAAAGTTAAATTTGGATAATATCAAATATGTAGCATATCAGGTTAAGACAAACATAGCTTTCAAGTTAGTTTTCTTCGGAAAAAGAAATGCTGTGGCAATTGCACATAAATATATTTTAGATTGTGTCCTTTTCGAATAAAGGTTGTAATAAATCACGTGATTACGACGTAATCCTGCCTGTCGATCCCCAAGGGACCTTTGTCCCTCACAGCATAAATGTATGATCGAGAATTTAAAACTTATAATAAATAAATTTATTTCGGAATGAAAAGGCATTTATTTTTGCGAGTACTAATACAATTCATAAATTTACAATATTTGAATTGCAAAACAAATTCGTACATCTTTCCATTTAAAAGCAAAATGTATTAGTATCAATATACCTATGATATCGGAAAAATTACGTAAAAAATCAATCTTTTTATAGTGAGACGTGACTATTTATTCTATGCAGATATCACTTTTACTAGCTCAACGAAACCTTTTTCCTCCACACAACGTTTAACTTCCTCTATGGGCATCAGCTTGCCAGTGCTCTCAGTGATGACCCATATCCTTTCTGGATAGTATAGTGTAATTCGCAAGACCTTCCCTTAGATTATTTCCCACGTAATTCATGCTTTGTTCCATTTCGTTCCATCGAATACGACACCATGTCTAGTGACTCTGGAGATCTTTGCATAGTGTCATCACTACCTTTGTACGTACAGTCATACCTCTTTTATATCCCCCCTTTTGTATCGGTACTTTGGTGGGATATAATTGAGGTGGGTATATCATTTAAAACAAAATTTTGTTTTTATTCAACATTAATAAATTCTGTCAATAAGGATTGATGTTTTGCTTTATCTATAAAACTATTTAAACATTATATTAATTCACTAACATACCTAATATCTTTTTTGTAGAAAGTTTTTATTGTTCCAAGAACATTTTTGCAGTTTCAAATGCTTTCCTTTTCTTCTATAGAAATAACTGGTTCCTCTTTGCCCATTTCCTCTTCCCCTTCCATTTCAACATTTTCAAAAAAAATTCATAATTAATTTCTTTGCTATTTGTTAAAGAAATTAACCAAGTTGTCACTAAAAAAAAAGAGAATAAATAATTCATAATTAGTTACTTCATTGTTAAAGAATAATTTCTTTATTATTAAGGAATCAAAAACAATTGCATAAATGTATTTCATGCACAAATAAGATTTAAAATTTGGATGTAACGGTAGCTCAATTAATTGGAGGTAAAGTTTGAAGTCCGTCACAACTCATATGTGGGATTTAATTGAGGTTCAGGTATAAATAAAGGGGATATAAAAGAGGTATGAATATACTGATATTTTGCGGGATTTGATTGTAAGATCTGATCTCCACCTGGATGGACAAGTTCACGGATTTGTCTCCACGCAGTTCCCGAACTCTCAAACTTCCAGCTTTGGAATCAATTTCCCATCCTGATCTCAAGAGAAAAGGTGTTGATCATTTATCGATCAAGTGGTATCTGTCCTCTTCCTTGAGAGCCGTGATCGATGTCCCGAATACTGTATTGATAATCTTTTGCTTGCTCAATTTCCAGGGCACGTTGATTGTTATCGGACACCTTCTGGATTTGTGGGTAAACTCCAGTATTGTCATCCACTAGCAATTTGGTCGAGACGTTGAAATATAATGATCACTAGTTTCGTATACGCGAATTCCGTCTTCTTTTTGGGCCGATAATTGATCGTGTATAGATGGCAAAGGACGTCCCATATAGTGAATATAGTAATTGTGGTACCATCCGCTTTTATTATCATTGGTAATAACTGCCCATTGAGATTGGTAGGGAAAAGAATTTGATTGTTCTTCCTGATATGCATACATAAAAGAATTTTTTGATTTGTTGAGAACATATTTCCATGTATATATGACATAAGTATCTTATGAAAAAACTAGACCTTTACCTGTGTGGTAAAGGTACTATTTGTGAACTTTCTGTCCTTTCTTGCTCTTCTTCTCGATGCAATTCCAGATCTAGGATGAAGAGTATCTAAGGAGATTTCTTTTCCTTGTTTTCTATCAAAAAAACTAAAAGTTGTCTTATTATAAGGTCTATGACTGTCTTAGACGGGATATGGCATGATGGTTATCGGAAGTAAAGTTGCTCGTTGTGATGTTCCCTTTAAATATATTAATATAGATGGTCATGGAAAATCTAATTGTTACTCTAAACAATGGACTCAGACATTGATTAAATCAATTCGGATGGCCTTCGTCTGTATAATCATCATATCGTCTTCGGCGGACCCGAATCAAGAAGATATTATTGGGACTTCTTAAAGTATTACTAACACCAAATAAGCTTATGACTAATGCATTATAATTCCTATCATTTATAAGTCAATGCAGGTATATATATGTTTCGCCTAAATAGGATGTCGCGTGGAGAATGTGCATGATCAAAGGTTTAACTATATTAAAACAGAAAGCAACCAGCTCAATGACAAAGGATGGTGATCTTATATGTGCATCCGGTCATTAATTGGATCTGTGAATGGAGTCAATTGACTATATTTCAAAGGGCTTAGATCAAAAGGAAAGATGAATTATTACTTATTTTCTAAAGTCGTTACAATGGCTATAATATATTCGTTGATAATTGCAAATTACAAATATTACTTTTGTAAATTTGTCTTATTTTTGACAATTATTGGAAAACTTCTTATTCATCAAAATTACTATTAAAACTACCATCATATGCTATATTTATGTTATTATAAGTATCTGGTTTATATATTAATGTTTAAATTCACATAAGATTGATTTTTTATATAATTCAAATAAATAATGATGATAAAATTAATTATTTTTACAAATAAATAAAAAAATAATTTACATAATAATTTAATAAAAGAAATTTGCTTTAAACATAAACATATAAAAGTATAATAAACGCTACTTGCGGGATTATGTAGAAGATAAATGTTCTTTCATTTGTTCTTCCCAATTTTCAGGCACTTCTTCGTCACCAACAGCTGAAGCAAGATCATCCATCCAGTTTTCTTTTATTATTGTTATTTTGAAAATAGGAAAATGATTTAATTAATTATTAATAAATATTAATAAATTATTAATTGAGAACTGGTAAAAAATTTGTTTTGCGCGTGTGGTGTACCTGAACTATCGACTTTTTTAACATCAAACAAAACTTCTTTATCATTTTCAGTGGCAGTAGTAGTCGTAGTAGTAGAAGAATCGGTAGCAGTAGTGGAATCTTCTTTACTCTATAATTAATATGGAAAATTTGTGAGTTTTTCTTCAAAAAAAAAAACACAATATTCCAAAAACTCGATAATCCCAAAAATCCAACCTTTTTATTATCGTTTTTCGATGCGCCATTTTCATTTGTTTCTATTTCATTAACTTTTGAATAAACTTGATTTTCTAATGCAACAGAATCAATTGATCCAAGTGCAGTTTGTTTAACAAGAGAAACACGATAAAAATAATTTCTCCAAAATGTTGGCTCTTGAACTCTATAAAATTATTATTATTATTATTATTATTATTATTATTATTATATAATATTATAATAACCATTAACATCATTACATAATAATACTTTACTGAGCTGGAACCAACTCAAATCTCATACGATTAAGATTTGGATCAGATTTTAATGTTGCCATTGCGGTTTGAAAATATATATGCATATCAAATTGAAAATTTGTATTTTCTGGTGGTGGAATTGTAAAATTTCTTTTATCCTAAAAAAATAAATAGATTGATGATTGATTAGTTGGTTGGTTGGTTGTGATAGCAAGAAAAAAAATAAATTATTTTAGTTAATTTATAGAAACATTAAAATATTGCTGTGGAACTTTTATTTTTAATAAATAATAAAGTTCCATTATTATTTAATTGAATTGCATTACTTGTGATAAAGCTAAAATTTGTTCTTTTAATTCATCTTCATTTGGAAGTCCAACCCATGGTGCAACAGCCTCTTGAAATGATTATATTGTTATTATTAACATTAAGATTAATATTAATAATAATATTATCATTACTATTATTAATTAATTAATAGAAACAAACAATTAATCAAATAGATAAATGTACCAGTTCCAGATTTTGGTACAAGTGTCTCCTCTTTGATTTGTTTAACAAATTCTTCATGTTGTTGTTGAATATTTCTTGTTGTTTCTTCTACTTTTTGTTGAAATGTTTTTGACAATGATGCAACACTAGTCATGGCACTTGATGCAAATGCTTAAAAAATAAAATTGTTATATTAATTATTCAAAATATAATGACAATGATAATAATTAATATAAATATATATATAAATATACATACAACTAATCATACTTGTGTTGACATTAGGAATATTTTTAACAGCATTAGTTATATCAATATTTTTAACAGCATCAGGAATTTCAATGTTTTTGATAGCATTAGGAAGTTCCATGTTTTTAACAGTATTAGGAACATTTTTGACAGCGTTAGATATATCAATATTCTTAACAGCTTCAGGAAGTTCAATATTTTTTACTGCAGCGGGCAACTCAAAATTTTTTACTGCGTCAGGAAGTTCCAAGTTTTTCACAGCTGCTGGAAGCTCAAAATTTTTTATGGCTTTTGGAAGCTCCATAGTTTTTTAAAAAAATATTTTTAATTTGTTTTTTATATTTATTTGCAAGCAAAGATTTTGTTTGTTTATGATTTTTTTGTTAGTGCAACGAAATATTAGTGGCCAACCAATAATTAAAACTATTTTTTTTTTATTTTTTTTTTTAATTAACATATCCGACTTTTTCAACTATTTTTCTCATTTCTTCATTTAACGACAAATTTAAATGTAAATAAAAATATTTTACAAGTTTAACTCGTTTTCCTTTAGAGTTTATTGATATTGGTGATGATATCGGTGGTATATCATCTTTGATTTTCCAAGTTGAAAATAACCTTGTTAAAGAAGGTTCCAATAATTCAATTGGAACTTTTGTATAGCGTAGATTACCGAATATGTTATAAGTTACGAAAGTTATTGGAGTATTTGGTTGAAGTAGAATTGAATCTTTGATTTCTTCATTATTATTATTATCATTAATTGATGGCGTAGATGTGGGAGAAGAAGGCGATGATTCGAAAGACGAAGGTGAAGATAATGGTGTATAGAATATTTCCTTAACATAAGTTGAAGTACACCAATTGATAAGTAGAGTTGAAGTCAAACTTGTCGTCGTCGCTAAGAATATATATATATATATATATATTATTAAATTAAAAACCAAAGAACACACGTACATTTCTATAATTGATTAATTAATTGGTTACTTATTGTCGCCAACGCAATTCTAGGAACTAGATCAATTGATGAATCTACTAGAAAAATTAAAGGCGTAATTGAAAAGGTTGCAACTAAAGATGAAATCGAGAAAACTTTTAATCGTTTAATTGCTTGAGAAAACGGTCCATTATATATAATCTTTATGTTTTTATTAGAAGGAGGAAGCGGAGGCGGTGAAATGGTACTACAAGAAGAAGGAACGAGGGTGGATGTGTAAAAAGTTGATCTTATAATAGACTTAAATTGTTGTTGATTATTATAATTAATTATTAATGATTTAATTGAATGGATTTTCTTTAATGAAATTTTGTTATTGTAATGCGAAAAAAATGATAAATTCTTCATTTTTTTTAAAAAAAAATTTTATGGTTACACACGAGTATGTATTAAACTTGAACGTGATTTAGTTACACGAACCATTCCACAAATATATAATATACAGGGTAATTTAATTAACTAGTCAGTCTGTCTACCTTAAATCAAGCAAACTTTCAACAAGATAAAAAAGGATCAGATCAAATCCTTATTGAAACTTCCGGCGAATCAAACCTTTGCTATAGCTGGTAGTTGGTTTTATTACAGTACACCCCAATTAATTTATTTTTTTACAATATCTAAAACAAAAATATGATTTTATCCTGTTACTATCAATTAGATAACATTCATGCGAACTGTGGGAGGATTCTGACAAGTGAATGCCTTCCTTTCTTCACAAGAGGAGAAATCGAGCCATTCACGAGGGTGTTCCCGAAGCCGAACCAGAATAGGGCAATTCTTTCTCTTATATGAGTCTTTTGTAACATTGACCAATATAGTACCCTCCAATACAATCCTAGAGCAAAACCGGTTGATTTTCCACAGGTATGACATTCTAGTTTTCCAATGAAAACAATATCCTTCAAGACGTGTAGAATTTCTATTACGGATAGAACCGTCTCTACAAAGATCCCAACATGATTGCAACGATAGCTTGATATTAATGTGATACGCATCGATTTCATAGTTATCAAATATCACAAGCCAATATTAATATTAAACAACACCTTGCTCTATGGTTGCTTGTTTCTAGGCGTTAGTTGAAAATTACTTGTAACGAGAAAGGTTTCTTCAGCCCAGTTATTGTGCATAGAGTCGAAACAAGCTTGAAGCTCACCATGCAGATTAATCTCCATGTTCTAACCCCATCGATGAAGGAGATGAACTAAACAAAGTCTCTGATAGGTGAGAATATCAAAGCAATGCCTTCTCAAATCCTCTCTCACGGCGATTTGCATCAATCAGTTTGCTCTTGAGATTATAATGATTTGTGGATTTTAAATTAAGTTGACAGCATCATTTACTTTTTGCTCCTTCTTTTGGTGTTTGTTTGATTTTATCAATAACTTGAAATTTTTATTAGAGAGAAATATAAGCAAGAGAAATAAATAAAGATTATGATGAATAGAATAGTTGAAGCCGTAGAAAAAATATATAAAGTGTGGCAGAAAAAATCGGGAGAAAAAGAGGACAAAGAGTTTAAAATCAAAGATTTCTCCCATGCCTGTTTGTTTGCTGATCAAGAATTTGATCAGAAATAGAGCAAAATAAAGAGCTAAAAGAACAAAACGGCTTTAATAAACACAATATCGAAAAACCAGGATTTATTGAAAGAAAAATTAAAGGGATTTATAATGATCCTCATAATAAAGAGCTTATTGAAGCAAGTGAATTTCCCATTTGCTTTTAGAAATTGACAAAAATCAAGCACTTGAGGAAGAACCAAAAAATTGAACTATTTAGCAAGGAAGTGGATTTATCGAAATTTATTTTAATTACCACTAATTTTACTCGCGAAGCCTAAAAATCATCTTATCTTTTGCTTTCCCGTTTGGATTAAATTAATGCAAATACTGCTTGATCAAGGTATTTTTTTGGACGAATATTACTATTGATTTTGGTGCCTTCACTTCTAACAGTTTGGTTTTATTGACATGCATGAAATTAATATTGTAAATGCGCAATTAAGTTAAAATTTTATCATAATAGTAATGTTCATTTTATTGCTGCCCATTAAACGAGTAAAATTTTAACCCTGGTCATATGAAAATTTTAGGTAAAGCATCAAAAACTAGCATATTTTTTCCATAAGTTATGTATGTATGAATATATATTTAATAAAAAAATGTATATAATATATAAAAAAAAATATTTAATCATAAAATTACTGACTCCAGATTTATGACAAAAAAAAGATAAAGGATGCAAATCTTCAAAGCTTGGCCTCCTGTAAAATTCCAAAGGGCGGTTTTAAAGAAAAGTTTTTTTGCATTATATAAACCTCCAATAAATTCTTCTCGTTTATAAGGCCATTTATTATTGATGAGTATTTTATCCATATGATTTTGATTGATTGGTTAATTGATTAATGCCTTCTTACATGCCTATATATATATATATTTGATCCAGAATAAAATATATCCAGTGTGTTGAAAATACAAAAGAGCAAAAAATTTGTGTGAGCTACATAATTTGAGTTTCAAGCAAGCAAAAGAGACTCTAATATGCCCAATATATCTCCCCCCCAAAAAAATTGACTGGAATCCTTGTGATATATATATATACATATGTATATATACATATAAATTTTTTTTTAAAAAAAAATTAAATACAAAAGATCACTTTTGCCACAATGAATCCAGTTCCAAGCAAAGTCTCAATAACAAGTCATCTCCCATGATCCAGAATAAACAATAATCTAGATGAGATGATGATACACAAACAATGAAATATAATAATAAAATCATGTTACACTCATATATAGTAGCATTCTTAAAACATACCCATATGGACTTGGACTCCTTCTATAATCATAATCATAAGGGCTTGAACTGCGTCTATATGAACTTCGTGATCGATTTCTTGATGATCTGTTGTAACCAGCATTATTATTATTATCAGAACCTTCATAAGGTGGTGGTGATCTAGAATAACGACTATAACGGTCATGATCCCGGTCACGGCCTCTGTCACGATTATGATCTTGGTTATGATCACGATCTCGGTTACTGTCTCTGTCACGGTCACGATCATAATCATCATAATGAGGGGCACCATGTGAATAAGAAGATCGATTTCTTCCGTATCTAGAAGATTGACCTCCCCGATCATAATCACCGCCACCTCCTCTAAAAATTATTTATAAAATCATTAAATATACACAAAATGTTTAATAATAAAAATAATTTATTTACCTGCAATATTTTGCTAGATGACCTGTTTCACCACATCGAAAACATTTTCCACTTCTAACATCCATACCCTTTTCTCTAGCATCAGAACATTCTCTGGCCCAATGACCTTGTCCACCACACAAAAAACAACCACTCCCAGGTCCACCAGACCTACGTGACCATTCTACAATAATCCTTGCGCCATCCAATTCATAACCATTTAATTGTTTTACTGCATCATCAGCATCGCGTGGATCCTAGTGTATATGTTTTTAGATCATGTAATAATTGTTTACTAATATTCAAAGAACATGCCAAAAATTTCTTAATATAAACTCGTAAAATAATAATTATTATTATTAACCTCAAATTCAACAAAAGCATATCCCGTAGGTTTAACATTTACACTGATAACTTTTCCATATCTTTCAAACTGTCATACCATATTTTAATCAGTTATTATTACAAAGATGTAGAACCTAAATAAAATTTACTAATGATATTATTTACCAACTCCTCTAGATCTCTTTTTTCTGTTCTTGAGGAAAGATGTCCTATATAAACTTTATAGAAAAAGTAAATATCAATAAATTAAATAATGAGCAACTAAAATTCTACTCGATTTAGTATAATTACATAATTAACATACGTTTGCTTGTAGTCATTATTTCAATCTCAAAAAAATAAAAAAAAAAATATAATGAATATAATGATATCAAATATAGTGAAAATGGTGTAACGAGAAATTTATTTGTAAAAAAAGTACATGGAAATTATGTGAAATTGAAATATATAAAGTAAATATGTAAAAACTACATAAAACTAATTTATAAACTTGCTAAATTCTCTCATCTAGTATCAACTAATTCCTCAAAGAATATATGTTATTATTGGATATTCCGAAAAAACCTATTTTGTTAGAATAAAGCCACTATATTCTTTTCTTGTTTTTAACTTTGTAATTGTTATCTCTAATATTCGAAAAAAAGTCTTATTGTGAATTCCATTTCCTAAAAGTGCTGAAGAATGAAATATTGTGTATATATCATATTTGCAAACAGCCCTTTGAAAATTTTCATATGATAACGACAAGAGGCGATTATCATATTATCCAAATTCAAGGATGTGAGAGGTAATTTTACTTCCCAGAACAAAGATCCCCTTTGGTATGTTGAATTGACATACACGGAGAGAATAAGACGTGTATTTTTTGAAATCAATATCATTTTGTATATACACGATTTTTTTGGAAGAAACAAACTTTTCCAAAATTTAGGTAAATGAGATGTTTTTAAAATTTTTTTTACCAAAATCAGTGATACAATAACATGTTGTAGAAATGTGTTCTTTCTCAAATAAAATCAATATTTTCTTGACAAAGCTGTTTTTAAATACAAAGAAAGACCTTGTTTTTAAAAACACTGGAATATTGTAGGAAAAATATTTCTGTAAATCGATTTTCACGTGATTAAAATGAAAGTGTAAGTTTCCTATAGCAGTTCATATTAAATACTAATACTGTATATAATAATAATAACACATTAATTGTTCGTTGAAGATTCTTCATTTTATTGTAGAACTTGTCTATTTTATTTATTTATTTTCTTGGCCAAACAAGTGAGATTTAATTTCGTGTATATATGCATAATAAATAATAGGGATTCATTTTTTAGACCATTTATATCCGCGTTCAATGTTACACTGGATAACGAAACTTTGTGCCATATGACTATAAATGATAATGCAGAGAAATTAAATGATTGCTTTTTTAAATATTTCAATAATTAATCTATTACATAACGCAATATACTTATTTTACAGCTACCTCGGATTATGACAACAACAACATTGTGCGAACTGTAATCAAGGGTTCCCATCCCCTGCTCTACAATGAGCAGACTACAACTAAGGTACTTCACCTCACTCCTCTATCATTGTTATTGTTTCCTCTTGTAAATAATGGATAACGGTTGCCATTATTTGAGTTCAACTAGAAAAGGCCACAATGGATATTATGCAAAGTATTCATGTCGCGATTCCACAAAGTTGCGCACGTATTTATACACGTTATAAGTTGCCAAACTCCCCACTTGTCCATCACAGCGAGAACGGATAATGGAAGTTCTGAATTCTTCATATTTCCTAGCTCGAAATGTTTTTTCAATTATAAAAACGGCTCTTTTTTGGGTCCAGATGGATTTCCATGGCTACTGGATGAGAAAAATCCATCTCCATATGCTACAACTATTTTTTTGCGATCAGTCAGTTATTCTTGTAACAATTTCATGGTAAGCCTTCTGCTTTTTAATATATGTCTTAAAATGAAGACTACGCCAGCGCCTATATCATGAAGTTCAAGCAGTGTTGGAGATGCTCGAGAGAATAATGCAGATATTCTTTGTATGGAGTTAACTGAGGCGACAAATGAAGTCGGAAGAACTGTTGGAATTTAATTAAGATAATATCAGTTTATATCAATTTGACTAACCTATTATTTTTTCCACTGTATATACTATTTTCTTTATACCAGTTCTCAACTTTCTTCCTTCATTTTGTGAAGCCCGCCAATGAGTACATTCCTTTGTGCTACATTTAATGGATCCATGCCATACGAAGCAACAAATAAGAGTTTTCTTTCTGGATCTAGCACAACACACCTGTAACCAGGTTGGATGCCTAATTATTCACACCACCCTACTGGGTTGTTGGCTGTCACAAGGATAGAAACACTCCCAGCATCTTTCATGTTGTCAAAATTAATTTGTCCTTGACTTAATTCCCAAAATATTTTCAATTGTGTCTGATTCAATTATTTATATGTTTTTTATGATTGCATCAAAAAGTCACCTTATTGATTCAAGTGATAAACCTATTTCTATCATATGTATAGTAATCGTCTTTGAAAATAAGAAAGGATTTATCTTGGGTTTTTACAAGCGAAGAAAATGTTACAGATCAAAATAAATTATACGTTCATATACAGTTTTACTATTGCTATGTTTAATTAGTAATCTGAAAATAGGGCTGACCTTAAGTTGTAATTAGAGTTGGCACCCATAATGTAAAATTACGGTGTTGCTCGTGTTGCAACTAACCGTAATGTTGTAATATTTGTTATATAATAAAAAGTAGATCATGATCCTTACTTTTCTAATTCTTTTTTTTCCCACGAATATAATAATTAAGGATGACTGACTGATAACAAAAATAAACTTGGTCCAAAATATAGTGATATTTTATACGTGGTAACCATATTGGTAATGGACATTACCAAGCTACATGTAAGCCATGTTTGTCACTTTTTAAAGATGCCCGACCACATTCTCATGTTTCTCAATGTTCAAAAGCATATGAAACTATCAAAAATGAAGTAAATGAATTGATTTTACAAAGTCAACATTTTCTAAACAAGGAAAACTCATGAACATTCTGGACAACGTCATATTGATGGTTATTTTTGTTCAGTTGATTTAGAAGAATCACCATGCATAAAACAATCAATAAAGCTTTAGTTATGATGTTTATATTATGTGTGTATTACCTTTCCAACCTGTTTTTCATTAATTTTTTAAAAGCATTTAAATCTTGGGTATCAACCACCTTCAAGAAAAGCGATATAGGTGAAAATGGAAATATGGTTTAATGGGATCCACATGTTGATTTACAGCAATTAGATGATGAATAGATAAATGAATTCAAATTTTTTGAGTTTGTTTGTTCTATATAATAATAATTACATTTTAATAAATATTAAATGTTCATTATAATAATAATAATATGAATAGAAAATTGGTCTAACTGCATCGTGATTATGTTGCAAACATTATATATATGCAAGAGTTACGAGATGTTGCAACATTACAGGTATGTTGTAACATTACGGTTTTGTTGCAGATTGTTGCAACATTGCAACATTTGATATTTGATTTACGGGAGACAAACTTGGTTGTAATAAATCTAGCAACAATAAAATAAATTTTTTATTGTTTTTATATTAAATTAAAATTGAGAAAATCTTGATGCAATTTATTTATTTTTTATGCATCTTTTGATAAAATTAGCTATTGTAATTCAATATTCGGTTAGTCAGATATTCAGAGAATATCAATTCAGTATTTTGTGTAACTGAAATTTTCTCATTCTCTCTGTTTATTTCGAATTAAACAATTAAATTTATTGTTTCACTTCCATTCATTTGAATGGAAGAGGAACATTCAGTCATTATAATTGGAGAAAGCAATAATACAATAATGAGCGAGGAGGAGAGGTCTTCTGCTGCTCATATTTTGAAAGTTCTTAGAAGTCAAGTTGGATATGGGAAGATGATCTATTCCTATGATGGAAACATAATAAAAATAGATTTCCCGTTTTGTCAGAGTTAGTTATTATGCATCTGCAATTGATAATTTTGATAGAATGCAAAGAACATTCATTGAATAGTTAATTCAATGATAATCAAATGTGATATCTGGATATTTTAAGGCTATCCGGATATTAAATTTAATTGAATGAGTATTTCAGGTGTGTACAACAAATTTGGAAATTATTAACGTGTAACGTCACACCTGTCGCTTCAAAAATACATTTAGCAGCGAGAATTTTTTTAATATTAATAATAGCAATAGGGCTGACGTAAATAATTTTAGTAACCATTGTATCGTACTAAATAAAGTTTGCTTATTATGTAGTTTTAGTCAAGCGTCTCATTAGAGTTGATTATTCACTCGCCCCTATGATATTATTAAATTAAATTTAATATTAACGTGCGCGTAAATAGTTCACCTATTTTTGAAAATATAAATAGCAAATGTTTGCGCGAACAAATTCATAACATCTTTGTCTATACGTCAACAAACATCAGATTATTAATAATCATTGCTACTATTTATATTCTTGTAACCAGCATTATTATTTACTATTAATTTTATTTATTTTGAATTTAAAGATTGTATACATTATATACATTATATACATCATTAAGATTTTATAATTGGCAAAACACTATACATATATATCTAAGAAATCCCATGATTGTTATGATAAAAAAGTAAAAATGACGGCTTTTATACATCAAGAAATTTTCAAGTACAAAATAACTTCAAAGCCTCATTAATTTCCCTTCTTTTTTTTTCCCTATATAACCACCGCCTTTTTCTGCTTTTTCATTTCGCATGCACACTTGTACATTAATAAATTAATTAATAAATTAATAATAACTATAATAATAATTAATAATAATCATAATAATAATGTTGAAATCGAATTTATTTGCCATTTTATTTTTCTGTTTCGTCGCAATCTTTATCAATTCATCTCGAGCAAACGATTACGATGACAATGATAGAAAAAAAATAGGAACTATCACTCGTAAATATCAGATTCGAGAATTTATTTTTCATTTGATTAATGAATATATTCATTTTATTGGTTACGAATAATAATATATTTGATCAATTGCGCAAATTACTACATATTCCCTTAATTAATAATAAACAATATTTTTGTATAGAACAACCTAATATCAATCTACCAGAAGGCATCAAGATACCAGAAGGACATGTTTTCAAATTTTTATTATATGGAGCTGGTGTTCAAAAGTATCAATGTGCAACTAATGAAACAACTAAAGCCAAATTTTGGGCATTTGGTAATGTTTCTCGCTCGAGAGGAAGAAAGAAACCCTTTTTTTATAATTGATTATTAATTTTGATTGGTTTTTAATTCGCATATTAATTAATAGTTGGACCATCGGCCTATCTTATCAACGACATTAAAAAAGAAAAATTCAAAAAGGAGTATAGAGTTGCATACCATTTTTTCCAAGAGAAACGTATGCATGCATATTAATATCGATTAATTAATTAATAAAATATGTAAATCTTATTCCGATATTCCAACTACTCCATCACCATTATTATAGCTGTTAACGGTGGGAGACCAACATGGAAATCTATTATAGAAAGCGACAAATCTTTGGTCATCACCGCTGTGCGTTCTCAAGCACCTTCGCCTGATGATCCAGCAAAGAATGTTCCATGGCTAGTAACCCAAGCCACTCATAATGAAGGTCCAGGTGCTTTCTCTGATGTAACCTATATACTTCGTATTGCCACTTATGGCGGAATTGCACCACCAGCTAGTGATTGTAAGTATAAAAATTACCTTTTTTTGATATTTTGCTGATCTCGTATTACATAATGTTCATTCTTCCTGCAAAATAGGTGGTACCAAATATAAAGAAGGTCAAGAACTTAGTATTTACTATACAACTCAATATTGGTATCTTAAAGCAAAAAGCTCTTGATAATAATGATGATGATGATGATGATGATGATAATAATAATAATAATAATAATAATAATAGTAATAATTAGTAATTAATAATAATAACAATAACAATAATTATTATAACAATAATAATAATGATAATAATAGAACATTATTTATTAATTTTATTTTTTGTTTTTTTTAATATAATGTTGTTAATTGAAAGTTTATTTTTGACGCATTAATACTATAATTTAAAATACTAAAGAAATAAATAATAAAATCCATCTAAAAGCGGCTTTGGTAAATGAAATTTCCAAATATTTTTTTCATTTCTCTTAAATATTTATTTGATCTACTTGTTACACATTTTAACTTGATGTCACACATGATTGTTAAAAAAGCAAATTAAAATAAAGAAGATGAAAAAGGCGGTGTAGACAACAATTTCTTGATTTGTTTTTCAATTATATATATCTTATAAAAAATAATGAATCCTTTTGATTTCAACAACTATTTGAAAAATAGTTTTCAAATAATATAAATATATGTAATATAAAATTTTCGTTATTTTTATTTCGTTATTTTATTTCGTTATTTTATTTATATTCCTTATTTTATTTATATTATTTACTTACTAATACCAATTAATCTAGTTTATTACAATCATTTAAGTTTCATTTGTCACTTAACATCATATATTATTAATACACACAATATTAACTCGTGAAAACATATTTTTTAAACTTTGTACAAATAGAATGATTGTTTTTCGATATTTTCAATTGACAAAAAAACTGTTTCAAAGTAATAATAACAATGACAACAACAAGAGGAGAAATAAAAGGTAGATATTATTGGATATAATATTAAGGATGAATGTAAACAATCCCAACAATCCCTCAATTCCTTGTTCAAACAAGGAATTGATTTCCCCATTTTAATTATAAATAGATACGATCTACACTAATAAATATTCATATAAATATCCGTAATCTTTATTACTATGATCGATCACTTAAAATATTCCCTCCCTCACATAAAATCATTTTCTTAAAAACGAAAAAAATCATTATTAATCTTTATTTTTTATTCAAAGTATGAAAAGGAAATCATCAAAAAAATTGAGTAAAGGATCTTCCTTGATAAACAAGAAAGATCAAATTTACAACCATTTCATCACCAATAGTGATGATAACAATAACAACAACAATAATAATAAAACTAAAAAAATAGACGACGGTGATAACTACGCTTGCACCTACACAAATAAAATAATGACAGAGCCAGTCGAATTTGATGTTATCAAGAAAAATAATATTGATAAGTCTGGTTGTATTTCTCGTAACATGCAAAAAAAGCCTCACTATTCTCAAGCTTTATTTCTTGTTAACAATGATGCTATTATTAATAATAAAGATAATAAAGCTATCGGTGATAACGATAATCGCGGTTGCGATGATAATATTAATACTTGTGATAATTTAAATAATGTCAACGATGATAATAAAAATAAAAGTAGCAGCGAAACCGGAAACAGTAGTAGTAGTATTGGAAGAAAGAATAGTGATGGTCATTTGATTGCTGAAGAATTGTTAACAAGATTAGAATTATATGGTGTGTGTAAAGAATGTCTAAGGCCAAAAACAGGATGGTTCTGGTGTCAGCCATGTAACTCAAAGCATTTATTAAGGTCCTTCTCCTCCTCCCAATCCTCATACATCTCTTCATCCTGCTCCTCCACTTCATATTCATCCTCCTTCTCACCAAATCAATTTTTATCATGTTCAGATCAACATAAATTGATCGATGGTTTTTTGAAATCTATTCTACTTTCCGCCAAGTCGTATCGTGACTTTGCACAATGGATCCCGTTCAATCGTTTAAAGAATATTAAATTTTTGTCAAAAGGTGGATTTTCAACCGTTTATACGGCAGTTTGGCTGGATGGTTGGATATTAGAGTGGAATCGGATCGATAAATGTTGGTCACGAAGTGGCGAACGAACTGTTATTATGAAAGTTTTAGAAAATTCTGTTAATGCCAATGAAGAATATTTGAACAATAAGATTAGGCCTTTGTTCGAAAGTAAATTTGGTGTCATTCGATATTATGGTATATCACAGGAACCAAAAACAGGAAATTATATTTTAATAATGGATTATGCAAAATTAGGGAATCTGTACGACTACTATACTTGTAATCAGTATAATCATAATCGTCATCGTTATTATTATAATAATTCAAAAAAAAAAAGGAAACAATTTACTTGGCAAGAAAAAATGAAAATTTTAAAAAGAATCACTTTTGGACTTATGAATATACATGAATCAGGTTTAATTCATGGAAATTTACATAGTGGTAATATATTAATACATGATGATAATTTGGCTTTTATTAGTGATTTAGGATTGAATCATCCAGCTGATAAGTTTTGTTCAAAAACAAATAATACTACAAATACTAAAACTACAATGATAACGACAACAACGACGACGACGACGACAACGACGACAACGACAACAAATTCATCACCAAGAAATTCATTTGCCTCTACTTCTATTTCATCATCTGATGATTCATTATCATCATCTATTACTTCTAGCACTACTGATTCATCATTATCATTTACATCTTCATCACCTCAAAAACAAAAAGAACCACAGGTTAATGGATCAACTACAACTAGTCCACTTAATGATACTGCTACCACAGTTACACCGACTACCACACTTAACGATAATAATGAAAATCAACAACAGCAACAACAAATGTATGGTGTATTAAATTATATTGCACCCGAAATATTATGTGGTAACGGTAACGAGCACACAAAAGAATCTGATATATACAGCTTAGGCATAGTAATGTGGGAATTGATTGCAGAGGAAAGACCGTTTAATAATAGAATACACGATATAAATTTAGTATTGGATATTTGTTATGGTCTGAGGCCTGAAATTCCAAGATATACTCCATTGTTACTAAAAAAATTAATAAAAAGTTGTTGGAATGCCAATGCATTACAACGACCAAAGATCAAAGAGATTTATAAAATTATTTCATTGCTCAAACATCAATTAGATGAAAATCGTATCGATTCGGAATTCTGTTCACAAATAAAAGAATCAGAAAAAATTATTAATGATAAAAAAATGATTAGGAGTGGTAGTGTTAGTAGTGATAGCAGTAACAGTGGCGGTGGTGGTAGTAGTATTAGTAGTACTTTTAGTAGTATAAGTAATACTTTTAGTAGTAGTCGAAGTCGTAGTCGTCGTGAGAATCGTAAAAGAGCCAGTTTTCAATCTAATAGTATTTATACAAGTAAATTATTGGATTTTTCTAATTTACCTAAACCGATGAATGCTCCAGTTGATCCAGAAGATCCAGAAGGGAATGATCAAACTAAATTATTATTAGAAAGGAGTGATAGCGAAAAAAGTCAACACAGCCAAAAAAGATATACTAAAGGAAGTCGTTATGATAGTAAAATGGTGGCAGAGGATTATAATGGTATGAATAGTTGTGAGAATATAATGATGTTGATATTATAATATTTGTTTTAACTAATATTTATGATTTTAATTTTTTCATAGATTTAAATGAATCAATTTATATTGAATTATTAAATAACAATGATAAAGACGATAACAATTATAAAAATAATGAAAATTATAAAAATGACAATTTTAATTATTATTATAAAAAAAGTGGGTAATCATTTTTATTATATTTCAAATTTTTTTTTGATTTATTAGACTTTTATTAATCAAATTCTTTGTAATTTTTTAGATTGTTCTATTGAAGGGTTGGAATCAAAAAAAAACATTTATTATTCAATTTATATTTAGTTTAAAATAATTCAAAAAGTAAAAATTATATTATTTTGTAAAACTTTAATGTGTAAATTAATATTATTATAATTATACAATAATAGATTAACTGTAAAAATTATTATATTAAAAAAAAAAAAAAGTATATAGATACATATATTAATAATATATTAATAAGTAAAAAGTATTAATTAAATTGTTCGGTGTGTTAAATAAGGCCCTATACGTATTCTACCTGGTTGATTTATCGAAGCAATTGGATATACCCTTGAAGGAAGATTTGTCCAATTTGCAACATTTGGATATTTCACGCCGTTAATAGAGAAGGCACAAGTTTTATTTGTCATATCTAGATGAACAGTGATTCTCGTTCCACTACTAAATTCTGATGCATAATTGGTTCTAGTGTTATTATGATAACATTTACCACTTGATCCAAGCACCCATGCACATGTTTGTTGACCGGCAAATATCGAATAGTCCAAACCTTTCTCTGTGGCAATTCCTACCCATGCGTAAATGCATATTTCCTCAACCACCACATCCCATTCAAATATTCCTTCATCGCATATCAAAAAATTGGCTCTAACATTATTGTGTACATTTATACCGGTTTTGGAACTTTCTACAACGCAATTATTGTTGTCTTTGGTAATCACCAGATTGCTTCCTATACATTGTTTATCCCAATTGATGTTCCATTTGGTCAACGGTGCTCGTCTAGTCGGTGATAACGATCGTTTTTCCCTGGCTTGAAACCTGTAAACATCTAGTAAAGTTGATACTGGTATCAGATTTAATGGTTCAATGACATCGATCAATAAATTTACATCTATTCTTCTTAGATCAATAAATTTCAATAATGGTAATAAATTTTCAATTATCAAAGGTCTAGCCTCTTCGTATTTCTTTCTATCTTCCTCATCCTCATCCTCTCCATTATCGCTATTGCATTTTTTTTCAACATCATTATCTTCTTCAGAATCTTGTATGACTTTATTACCATCAATAACTATGTTTTTATTGTTATTATTATTATTAACATTAACGTTATTATTAATTATATTATCTTCGTTAATACTATTATATTCTGGAAGCCATTTTTCGATTAATTTAACCAAATCTTTTGATAAATTATTTGTTATTCTTATTACAACATATCTAAATATTGAATATTCTGGAGTGACAAACAATTCTTTGGTATCAAAAGTTTGTCGTAGTAAACATTTCAATGCTTCAACACTAAGTTTGTCATGACCCAATGTATCTAACGGAACCTTTGCTACACAGCTTGTCAATAATCTAATCAATTCATTATCTGCTTTAGATGTCATTTTTCTAACCGCGTTCGTTAATAACTCTGGTGCAATATTTTCAACACTATTGGTGCTGCTACCACTACTGATATTGATATTATTGATATTGGCATTATTAGCATTCAGATTGTTATTTTTTAATAATCCTCTGATAAAATTTATAAGATATTCTTGTAGTTCCAACAATTGAAAATAATCAGATGCATGATACGCTTCGACAACATTATCTTTTGCCAATTTAATTTCCATTTCGTTATTATTCAACACCCCAGTATACAAATACTCCATCACAATCAACATTGGGGTGGATTTGATTACCGGGAATTTAATTTGGCTTTGATTGGTTTCTTTCATACCGTTGAATAATAATTTATCTAATACTTCACACCTTGCTGCCAATATCGCTTTATTTCCATATACTATCACCTCATCTTCACACAATATTTTTAAATCACTATATGTTGGATTGTTTAGTAAAAGTTTTAAATCTTTGGAAAGTAAAATTCCTCTCGTTGTCATCGTCATTGTCATTCTATCTATTGTTGGTTTGTTGTTAATTGTTGATTGATTAATTGATTAGAAAATAGGAAAAAAAGAGGTTCGTATCAATCATTTATATTTTAAATATATATTTATTTACTTTGTCAATTAAAAAATTTCATTCATTAAAAAAAATTTTTTTTTCATGTCAAATGATCAAAATTTCACGAACAACAAAAACCTTAATCATATCATTAGACAATACCATGTTAACATAATAAGGAGAGTGAAAAAATGAAGATAAAAAAAATGTGGATTAGTTCAATTAATTTAATGTTAAATATTAATATCATTTAATATTATTTAATATTAAATATCAATGAAACACGTTCAACAAATCATATAGGGAAAAAAACATTACATATGACTGCATATGATTACAATCAAATAAGGAAAATGAGTTTTCATATAATCACACCGCAATGGGTGGCTTTTCAGTCAAAGCGTTACAGCGAGTGAATAAATCTTGAGAGATTTTTAATAAAATCTCTTTGTAGTGAAGTGAGCGAACACTTGTTACTGTTGTGTGTGAAAATACATGTATCCGTGTGAATTTTGAAATTAGCCAATTAAAAATTATTTTCGCCCAAACACATATTTGATTGGTAGTTATTATTTATAAATAGTCAAAACACAATTCTATTGATTCTATTGTTTGTCTTTTTCTTTCTTTATTTATCAAGTTGTGCAGTTATTATTTACAAAATCATGCAAGGAATGCACCTTTAAATGCAGAATTAAGCTTTACTGTATTCGTACGTTGTACAAAAACCTGGTTGGTCAGAAAAATAAATCGTAATTTTTTGTCAGCAAAAATACGTGTAAAATAGACTGGCCAAACGTTGTAGCCTGTTATTATTACTTCAAAAAAAATATAAATAGCCTTAAAATAAAAAATATAGATTATAAATAAATTTTTTCTTATTATTTTTTTTTTATATATTATTAAATAACAAAGGAAAGTTTAACTTTTGGCGAGAAAAAAAAAGTGAATTAATAGTCCATATGAAACTATCGCCAAAAAATTTGAAATATCAAAACCATTAATTTCTAGAAAAGGATGATAATCAAAAGGCGCAAAATTTCTACCAATTGAAGCTGCCTTATATTTATGGATTTATGGTCAAATTTAGCCATTGCTGGAAATATATTGAAGACAAAACCTTTGCAATTTTCCGACAAATTGCATATAGAAGATTTGAGTGTCTCAGTTGGATGGTTAGCAAAATTTAAAGAACGTTTTCATATAAAACAATATCATAAAGCAGGTGAGACGAATAGTGTACCATTAGAAACATTAGATCGTGAGTGAAGTTATTCCACGAATCTGTGCATATATAATTATACAAGAAAAGGCCATCGAATGGATTTATCGTCTATTGGAATTAGTGGCCAAGGAATTGGCCACCTTATTATGCATTTTTGTAAAATATTCGAGAGGAAATTCTCCAAGCTAAGTTAATTAGTCAATAATACTTAAAAAATATTTATTTATAGTTTGCATTTTTTGCGCACAAACTAATAAGCAAAACGGTTAATTCAGATTACAATCACATTACTAATAAGATTCCGGAAAGCTTAGTCAAAGAGATCATATTGAAGCTTAACCCTCACACAATTGCAGCAAAGTTTTTATATTCACCTGGCTGGATACGACCAGCTCCTCCAAAAAGTGGTAAATTAGATATTATATATTATCTCGCTAAAATAATGACCGAAAAAAATAATGGATTCAATTGGTAAATCATAAAAGCATTTAAAGTTTTAACTTGATCGTATAATCCTTAAATTCTTGAGATGCTTGGAATTATTACTATGTGGATCTTTATAATTTTTTCTTGAGTTGATCACGTGCTTGCTGCATGGAAAAACTCGGTATATTTTTCATGCTGAATTTTTTACACCTCTATTGGGAGCACATGCTGTGGACGATGAATATCATTCAATAAACCAGGCTTGTATGCAGTTGAACATTGTTACAAACCCGCCGACCTTTTTTTCTAGAAGTAAAAAAATTTAAACCAGATTTTAAAAGTACTATTTCCAGCCCTGATTAATTTCTGGGGGCGAGCTTAATTGAGGACAATAAAATAATGAATAGGGTATTTACTAACGAATAGTTTTTGGGTATGGTTGAATTATTTCCCAAGTCGAAACTTGTTATTATTTTCTTTTATCCAAGGGAAGTTATTGTAAAAAGTACATGAAATTTGAATTGTTTGTATACATTTTACCTTGTTGGTTTAGTCAATTTTGTTGTTTGTCTAATGCTACGTAAAATAACACCACGCGTCGAGATGGTAACAAATAATTAATATAAATAATAAACAATATCGTGTAATAAATCAATATGTGTGCTACAAACAAGTGATATTTAAAGAAATTTGAATTTCAGAGTTATAATGAATAAATTCATTTGTATATAAACCTCAACAAAATTAGTTCTATGGATGAAACTTTTCATATTATTTAATATGAACAATTATTTCCTCTTCCAAGGAACTATTCCTTCTCTATTCAACCAAAGCAAGCAAGTGGAATCAAGTTTCTTGAAAATCATTTTATTTTCACTCCTTCCACTTGTGACATCGTCAATTATCGATGAAGAATATAAATCCGAAGAGGATGTTTACGATGCAATGCTTAACACATTTTTTCCAGTCCTTTTTGTCGTTTTGTTTAACGTGAAAGGGAAGACTGGACCCATCAAAAATGTGCTGTTACCATTACTGGACGACTTATTATACAACACAGTCACCTGGGTGATTCCGCTGGTAGTTTCTTTGGCCTACGATGATTTGCTGTTTATAAAGATATTTTCATTTGTAAACATGGGTTTACATGTAACTTGCGCAGTAGGCGCAATAAATAGGAATAAAAAAATTAAAAAAGTTGTTGGAAATGTACCTGATTCTTTTAGATTTATCTTAATATTCTTGTTATTTTTCCCAGCGATAGTAATTCCAACATTCTGGATTGTTAATATTACAACTAGACATCTTTTTGACCCAATTTGTATAGTATTCCTTACATTATTTGGGGTATTGTTAGTTACAATTTTCATTACTGCTTTACTATATTTTTTTGCAAAGGATAGATTAAGGGGATTAAATAGATTATATAGAGTACTTGAATGGATTGTTGCTACTATATTATTTCCTGTATGGTTTTATCTCCCGAATATTCTGCAAACATTATTTATTGTGTTAAAATGGCCAATCGATATTTACTTTGTCAAAGCTTGCATATTTATACTGGTTCTCTCTTTAACAAGAAATGTGTCCTTCTTTACAGAGAAAGAACCAGCGCCTGTTGACTTTATGGCTACTTCAACAACATACACTCAATATTTCCTGCGCAAAGAAATAGATAGATATCTAGAGGAGGATGAAGAATGGCGAATAAATAGGGGAATGGATAAAGGTCCAATAGATGAAAATGAAAAGGATAGAATAATCAGGGAGATGCAAAAATCAATGGTTGAAATGAAAGGAACAATAGCGAAATTGTGTGAAAAGGCGCAAATCGATGAACCACAATAGTAATTGGTTAGGGTTCTTTTTCTTTCTATTGTAAGCATTTTATTAACAATGTTTTTATATCATTTTGATGTAAAAGTTTATATATTTACCACAAACCAAGCTACATATTGATATAAATTTTTATTTAATTTTAATTGTTTCGAAAATTCTTATTTTGTTAATTTACCTTTGAGATTTTTCCTTTTTCACAATAAACTAGAAAGTGCTGTTATTTATTTATTTATGTATGTATAGATTATACTTGGGTCGTTCAAACTATCACTTCTGTTTTTAACACCAACTCAAAAAAATTGGATAGAAATAACTTGGAAATGTTTCCATCTAATAATTTTGACAAGCTTGATAAACTAACTTTCTTTGATAAATTCAAAGATATTTTTCCGCTGGTTGGTTTTTCCAACTTTTTATAGATCAGCTTTTCAGCAATTATATCATATCATTATAAAAGATTCTTCCGGTAGAGTTGTATGACGGCTTAGTCTTTTACAACACAATCACTAGATATAAACCAACATCAATGTAGCAGCTTATGCGCACGTTATCAGATCCAAATTGTATTGTTTATAATCTATAATCACTCGCTGTGTAATTTATAAGGTCATATAAACTATGATGCCCAGGGGACAACATGCTGGTGTGAGAAGCTTTCTTTGATTGGTAGGATGATTGCTCCGTCTTTTTTTTTTAGATAAACTTTCGCTGTTTGCCCCCTATTAAGCCAAGCATTATCGAATTACAAACTCAACTAAAGTCTCTTCAAGTGGGTCATGTAGGGCATGATGAATGAAATTATCCTCATTGTTAGTATTTGCAATTTTAATATAGGCGGTGGAAGGGAGCTGTTGTGTTTTCAGGATCACATTAGTTAAAGGAGACATTTCGTCACCAAATTATTAATTAATTTAGTTAGGTTTAAGTTTTATTATAAAAATAAAATCTTGTCTATTTGATGAAGATAATATAATTCAAAATTAGGTTGGACTTTTCGCATTTGTAAAGAACAATTTACTTACTATTTTATTGGGAAAATGTGTCTTCAGAATTGACGACATTTCTTCTACCTGTCTAAAAAATAAATAAATTCTATTTTTGATCAAATGTAAATTTTTTTAAAAATAATTAAAAGACACCATTCTCATCTTGTATTGATCATTCCGTAATTTCCAGGAAAAATTTTTTTATTTTCTCATTTATTTTGTTTTCTTAGTATTATTTTACAAAAACAAAGTGAACAATGATTATTATGTAACCTTTTTTATCCCAGTGGATCAAAATAAAGTTTGCTTTACTGCATAGTAATTACATAAATAATTCCAAAAGGAAAATAATTATCTGATTTCGGAGTTATCTATTAATATATACTAATTAATACTTATTGATTGAAAATACATTGTCTATAAAATAAGTCTATGAGTGAAGCTTTATCCTATTATTCGATATGGACAAAGGATTTCTATTAAACCAAAGCAAGAAAGTGATCTTGACTTTATTTCTACTCCTTCCGCTTGTGACAGCATCTATCATCGACGAAAATTATGAATCTGGACAGGACGTGTATGATGCAATTATTAACACGTTCTTTCCAGTATTTTTTGTGATTCTATTCAATGTTTCAGGGAAAACTGGACCCATCAAAAATGTGCTGCTGCCACTACTGGACGACTTTTTATAAAACACTGTCACTTGGGTGATTCCGCTGGTAGTTTCTTTGGCCTATGATGATTTGCTGAGTATAAAGATATTTTCATTTGTAAACATGGGTTTGCATCTAATTTGCGCAGTAGCCGCGATAATTAAGAATGAAAGGGTTAAAAATGTTATTGAAGATGAACCTGATTCTTTTACATTTATCTGGATGTTCCTGATGTTTTTCCCAACTATAGTCATTCCAACATTCTGGATTGTTGTTATTACAACTAGAAATCTTTTTGATCCAATTAGTATAGTATTCCTTACATCATTTGGGATATTGTTGGCTACAATACTCATTTGGATTATACTACTTTGTCTTGGGTGTTGTGCCTCAGAGAGATTAGATAAAGTAGTTTTTTCGAAGATTGCTGGAGTATTATTTTTCCCTGTATGGTTTTACCTCCCGAATATACTGCAAACATTATTTATTGTGTTAAAATGGCCAATCGATTTTTACTTTGTCAAGGCATGCATATTTATACTAGTTCTCTCTTTAACAAGAAATGTGTCCTTCTTTACAGAGGAGAAACCAGCACCTGATGACTTTCTGTCTACTTCAACAACATTCACTCAATGTTGGCTGCGCATAATAATAGATTTAAAGTGAAGGAAGATGAAGGAAAGCAACTAAATAGAGGAATGGATGAAAATGAAAGGAATAGAATAATTTGGGAGATGCAAGAATCAATAGCTGAAATGAAAAGAACCATAACGGAATTATGTGAAAAGGTACAAATAGATATGCCAAAATAATAAATTTGTTAGTCTTTTTCTTTCTATTATAAGCATTTCATTAAACGATCTCATTTTATGTATTATTCATTTTGATGTAAAAGTGCTGTTTCTGATGATTTTGCCATCACATTATGTCTATTTAATTATTTAATTATTTATAGATTATTACATTTAAGATTCAAACTATCATTTCTGTTTTTTGACACCAACCCCAAAAAATTTGTTTGATTCTTTCTTTTTTTAAAAAAAAAACATTTTATTTATTATCTTTTTGATTTTTTATTTTAAGCATTAAAAATTTTTCCCTAAAGTATGGAAAGAATGGACTGCAATTTAAAGGTTTTAATAAATGTTCACTTATATCATGATATGGTGGAGGGTTTTTGTTATGTAACTCAAAATATCATCACCATATGACTTGATAATAATCTGACATGCTTTACTTTTAGATGAATGCATGCTTCTAAATCCTCATCAAACTCATTTATTACACCATGTCAAGCTGAGGCATTATTTTGAAATTCGACTTTTATCTGCATATCTTTAAACTTTCTAAATCCATCAATCCCATCTTTTTAATTATTATTATCGGTTGGACAAAACAGAGAATTATACAAAAATTTTTTTTTCGTGAATTGAATTGACGCGAAATTAATTTGATAAAACTATAGAAAAATTTTTTTTTTATTATCGTATAAAAATCAATTATATAACATTCATTCCAACAAATTGTTTTTCAAAATTCTATCGTTTCTTAATAAATCTCCAATAAAAAAAATGATATCATCATCTATAATTAAAATAAAGTTAGTTGTCTTACAACATGCACAAGTAATTTATTTCACAAACCCTTCTCTCTCTCTTCCATCAAAAAATAGAAAAAGAAAAAGCCAAAAAGGAAAAAATGAGGTGAAATAACATCAATCAATATCATTTTTTCCATTCTTCCCAATTTAATTTTCATATTTTTTGCATTCTAGTCAACAAACTTCCATCAAAAGATTCCATTAATTATAATTTATGGCCATCGAAAATATTATTATTACTTTTCATGTTATTTAATAATTAAGGATCAAATCGAGTCGAATTTTAAAGTGATTCGAATCAAATCAAACCGGATTCCTAAATTTCTTTTAATGTCATATTAACAGGGGGTTTCTATTGAATAAAATTTATTCGAATTATTTGTTTTATTCATTATGATTTGAGTATTCGAAATACATTGGATATTTATTCAAATAAAATGGATAATTTGAATAAATTCGAATAATAAAACAAATAATTCGAATAAAACAAATAATAAATCGAATAAATCGAATAAAATGAATAATAACGATAACAGTCGCATGATTCATGTTTTAAATTTATGAATGATGATAATTGCATTGTTGAAATGATGCCTCTTCAATTGCCTCTTCAATTAGCACAGTGTAATGTGTCCAAAAAAGAACAAGAAGTGAACTATGGAACCATTTCACAATTGTAGATAGAAAAGCCAATATTTTTCTTGACTTTCGAAATCATTTGTTTCTAAGGCAACCCTTTTAAAATCATGCAGAGTTCGAATTATTTCATATAATATTGCAGTATAATTAATAGTCGTGTGACATTTCCCTGAGGCTGCTATGAAAATAAATTCGAAATTCGTGTCACATGAAGTTTTTTAAAATATCTCGTGATTTTTATAATAAACTCGAACTTCGTTGTTAGACTAAAATGAAAGTACTCCATTAAAGCTTTCTAATGAATACTCTTTCATATCAAAAGGTATCCTCTACATGAATTCACAGCTATTCAAAAACGGTATTACTTTTTCACTTCAAACCTCAGATTATTTCTCAATATTGCTTTAAAAGACTTGATAGTAAATGAGAAGGTGTAGAATACTTTAAGCTTTCATATGGTCATTACTTTATGGGGAGTATCAACAAAAACTAAAAGGTATTTTATTAGTGATTGTTTTATATTGATCAAAGTTTCATTAATGATTATTATGAATATCATCAATCAGTAGTTGTTATAGCAACATTAAACAATAATATTAGTAGCAATAAATAGCAAACGATGATAATGAATCATCATTTTTTGAGGATGATAATAGAGATTAAGATCCGGTTTGTGTAGAAGTTCGAAGTGAATGTTAAGGACAAGATCTATACTAACAAACGTTCTATCAATTATTCAATAGTTTGTGTAGGGGTGATCGAAGTAGGCATTAAGGACAAAATCTATGAACAAAATATAATAACGAATGTTTTATTGATAAAATTTTTTAAAACAAATGTGTTGGATATTTTTAAAACAAAGTAGTAATAAATAGCAAGAATTACTTGTAATCAATATTCAATGTAAACGAGTCTTGTTATCCTATATCAGGCGTGCACAAAGTAATGTAAAGATTAATTTTTATTTAAGAAGCAAATGTGATTGTGATAATAAATTTTGTTTATTATAACTCAAAGTATTCTTTCTTGTATTTTTATGTTTGAAAAAAATACCAAGACATAAATTTTTGATGATCTGAATCATAGTAAAATTCGAATTTACATAGTAAAATTTTACAACCAAGTGACTTCTAATCCCCATTTAATACCCTTGCTGTGTAGCAGCCACCGCCAAATTTGATATATAACTTCTTTATC